TGATAAATCGTCCACCAATCTTGACCCCACATTTCTCCTCATAGAGCCCAGCCTCCTGGATAATCTGATCTGCATACAGGTTGAAAAGGTATGGAGATAGGATGCATCCCTGGCGTACGCCCTTCCCAATTTTGAACCATGCAGTGTTGATTAAGTTAATGTGAGGGAGGAGGAATTTCTATGACCTCTCTCGCCTACCTGGTTAAGTTCCTTATCTCTCTAAGGATATTCTCCTTGTTGTTCCTGACATTCTTCTTGGATACTTCCAGGAGATTCGCCACCACGTCTTCAGTGTAGCTGTCCGCCAGTTTGATGGTGCCATAGTTGTCAACCCACTTTTGGACCTCACCTGAAATACAATCAATCAGACCATTGGAAGAAAAAGTCGGGGCGTCCGGACCATTCATTCATTCAAACGATTGTGCCCACTTAAACTAGGAGTTGGCAAACTCTAGAGAGCTCTGGTGGTCCAGTGGCGAGAAGCCACGCTACAATCCTAAAGGCACGCGGTTCAAATCCACCAGCTGCTCCGTGGGAGAAGGATAGGCAATCGCCTCCCGTGTGATTAACTGCTTCGGAAAACCTGCCAGAGGGTCAGCTATGGGTCGGTTCCGACTCGACGGTACACAACAACAAGAGCAGGCAAACTATCGCCGAGGGCCAAATCTACCACTCGCTTTTCACAAATAAAGTTTTATTGGCACCCAGTCACACTCATTTGTAATATCTGTGGCTGCTTCTATCCCACAACGACAGAACTGTGCCAGACTAACTGGGCCCTCCACATGATTTCTCCTCTGAAATGGGATGATGTAGATGGGATGTCCAAGCCAAAGGGGGAAGATACTCAAGACAGACAAGAATGTTCTAGAAAGAGGAAGCAACATGCAGGAGTATCTAAGACTGAGGGAAAGGATGATACCTTCCAGGGGGCCAAAAAGTAGACATGGGATGGTGTCAGTACACGTCCTCTTCAGCCCCCAACGTTACAGAGTAGACAAGGTATCCCTTGGGTTTAGTTGAGCCCCAACCAGCCCTTCTTGGTTGCCTCTCATATATCCGCCCAAACCTACCTTCACAAGACTTTGTGTTGAACAAGGGAAAATGCATGATAACAGGTCCAGTATCTCCTTTGAAGATGTAGCAATCTGAGGGGGCTTTGGCACATTCCTGGAGTTCGGTCTCTTTCAATGGGGGGAAGGGGATGTTATTGAGGCCACAGTAGGCAGCAGTAGCCTTGAGGGTCTGAGGAAAAGGACACAGGGAGCTGTATTAGTGACTTGTCTAGAAGATGTCAGAAGCCAGCAGACTGCATCAGAACCTCAGTGAAGATCTCTGGCAAGACTGAGCTTAGAGTTGGGTGGTGTCTTCTGTTAGGGAAAGAATCCCACTTCCGACACCAATCACAAATTCGTTGGCCTACCTAAAAAAAAGGTGGACAGATGAAGTATTTGAACCTCAACTCTATCACTTAATAGATTTATAGAGTCATTCCAACATGCTTTGCCTATAAAAGTTGTTCCATCGGGGAGCTCTGGTGGCCTAGTGGCAAGGAGCTGCAACTACAATCCCAGAGGCGCGCTGTTCAAATCCACCAGATCCTCTGCCGGGGAAGGAGGGACAATCTCCTCCTGTACCAGTCAGATCTGATTTGACGGTACACTCATACACACACAATAATAATAATAATATTTAAAAAAAGGTGTTCCATCATATCTCTTCAAAGGGATATTTTGAGGATAAAGTAATAGTCCACGCCAAGGAAGGGAGCTCTAGTGGTCTAGTGGTAAGAAGCTGCACTGCAATCTCAAAGTCATGCAGTTCAAATACACCAGCTGCTCCTTAGGAGAAAGATGGGCAATCTCCTCCTTGTCAATCTATTGTCTCTGAAAACCTACAGGAAGGATCAGCTATAAGTTGGTTCCAACTCGAGAGCACATAACATGCCAAGGATGGAGTCCCTGGGTGCAAACTGTCAACTGTTCAGCAGCTAACCAAAAGGTTGAAAGTTCAAATCCACAAAGAGCCACCTCAGGGCCAGGGAAGGGGGAGGGGGAAGATCTGGTGATATACTTCTGAAAAAAGTAGCTACTAAAAATACAGTGGACCCCTGAACTGATGGCCTTAAGACATCCTTCAATCTTGGAACAGAGCTCACCTCCATGGCTCAACTTTCAGCCGAACAGCACATCAACCCACTGCCAGAGTCTATTTCAATTCACGGGAACCATTCCATCAGGTTTCCAAGGCTGTAAGTCTTTATGGAGGGAGACTGTCCATCTCTCTCTCTCAAAGCAGCTGGTGAATTCAAATGGTCGAGCTTTCAATTAGCAGCCCAACACACATTGAACCACAAACCACTAGGGCTTCAAGCACTAGATAGGCCTGTAAAGTGATTACCGAGAAAGGTCTCAACCCCTTAGAATTGAACCACATAAGATCAAAAGAGCAGTCTACAGCCATAAATGCCCCTGATAGCATCTTCTCTTGGCGGCTAAGCAGGGACAGGCCTGCTTAATATTTGGATGGGAGGTCCAAAGGGCTGCATCTGCTCAAGGGTAAGGCTCAGAAGGCAGGATGCAATGGGAAAGAAGAATGAAGGGACATGAGAAACACAAGAAAGAAGTAGGATGAATGCTGTCCCATTGTGGAGATGGCAACTGATGTCACAGATCAAAATGTGTATGAATGGGCGAGCTCTGGTGGCCTAGTGGCAAGAAGCAGCACTGCAATCCCAGAGGTGTGAAGTCTGAATCCACCAGATGCTCTGCTGAAGGAGGGACAATCTCCTCCTATACCAGTCAGATCCGATTTGATGGTACACACACATAATAATAATAATAATAATAATAATAATAATAATAATAATAATAATAATAATAATAATAATAATAATAATAAATTTTACAAATGTGTATGATTAAAGGGAAAACTAGTTTGCTCTGTCAAAGTTCACTCAAATCACAATTAAAGAGTTGAGGGGATAAAAAAAAGTTGGGGGGAGGGGACTGGAGTAGAGCTCTTCCCTGACATGGCCCCTGAGTGGGGACAACGTGAAGACAGCTGATGCACTGTACCAAGTAGGAAGCCACCACAGGTACGTGGGATGTGCACACCTGGGGAAGGAGGCTCAGAGGTGGAGATCAAACAGATGTGGATGGCAGGTGGGGACCAGGACCAGCAGGAAAGGGCGGAGAGGTCTGGCTGGCTCTGGAAGGCCAACAGCGCTCTGCTGTTTCCAGATTGCAAAAGGTTCAGCGCTTCGGGCCTCTGCTGGGTGGTCTGCACAGGACGCTGCGCTGCTAACCCAAAGGGGACCTCTCTCCGGCGGTTCGAATCCACCAGTGTCTCCGTGGAATGAGAAAAGGGCCATCTCCTCCCGTGCAAATCTAAAGCCTCTGGACCGTCACTCAGCTGGGGGTCAGTTCCAAGTGACCACAATGAAAGATGGCACCGAATGCGCCCCCAGCACCCGCTAAGTCACCCCTTCCGAGGCCTCTTCCTCTTCGTGATGAAGGCTCAGTGCCCACGTGCTCAGGACCCCTCCCGAGACCCTTTCTTCTCGGTTACCTCAAAAGGATCATCAGCACTGAAGTCAAAGGAGAGGATGAGGTGAGCCTTCCGAGTCGGCGGGAGAACGAGCGGATAGGGGGTGTTGATGGCCAAGCCAGCGTCCACCAAGTGCAGGTACTCCCGTCCGCTCATGACCTCGTCGCTGATGCCACCTGCACAGATAGAGCGGCCAAACTCGTTCGACCAGCTGCCGTGCTGCGCACGCTCGTGTGTGGCGCCCCCGTGTGGGGCGGAGTAGAGCTGCGCGCCATGCAACAGGCCTTTCTTATGAGCAGACTCTCAGGGCGCCTCACACCTCCAGTGTTGAGGTCAGCAGCCCCCACTGTGCTGACTGACCATCTGCATTAAAGCAGCCCCGTGAACAACAGACCAAAGTCCCGCCCTCGCTTATGGCAACCTCACAATCAGCCCCATCCTCAAGCCCATGGCTGCAGTCTCTGTGTCATTGCACTGAATCTCATTTTTTCCCAGGATAATGCCTTTTTTTAGGATGGGTACATCCTGACAACACGCCCAAAGTATGTGAGACAACGTCTTGCCTCTAAGGAGAACCCTGGCTGGGTACTGCTGGCAAAGATCAGCTTGTTCTCCTGGCAGCCCGTGGTGTATATCCAACACTCTTTCCCAACACCACTATTCAAAGATCTCACCGCTTTGCTGTTCCTTATTTATTTCCCAACTTTCTCAAGCATACCAAACAATTGGAAATACCATCACTTGGTAAAAAAAAAATAACAAAAAACAACCATGGCTTAGTAAAAGCATGGCTCAGTAAAAGTGTGGTAAAACCAAGGTTTGGTAAACATTGGGGCAAATTTGGTAAAATACTATGTAACTTGGAAAAAAATAATAGTAAATACTATGTAACTTGAGAGGGACTAGAAAGCATTATGCTGAGTGAACTATCTCAGTCACATAAGGACAAATATTGCAAAAGGCCCCTTTTGTAAAAATAGGAGGATAACTGAGTAAAATGTGTATAAATGTTAAGGAGAGAAGGGGGTCAGAAAAGGGGAAGATAACTAGGCTAGCAAAATTTAGTGGGTGGAGCATGGGATCAGAGTGATGGCAACTAATTATATAAAATATAACGTACATGAATGACTGTATAAAACACAAAGTATATGTACAACAAACATTGGTTCTAAGTGGTGCAGCACTTGTCTGTCAGTTTGCTGCACTGCAACTACTTGGGGTTGCTGTGATACTGAACCCTTTTCCACTGGTGTGTCAAACTCCAAAAGGGTTTCCCATTGTGGACAAATGTTGGAGGAACTCCCTGATTAAGACAGACTAGGAAGCAGAATGGGCCATCTACTTCCTAAATAAAAGGCTTTTAAAAATACTCTGAACACAAAACAAAGAGGATAGCTCTCATAGTGTAGTGTTAAGTGTGAGGATGATGCAATCAGATCTTTTGTTCACAGGGTCTCTATGAGTCATACTTGACTTGATGGCACCTAACAACAATCCATGTAAAAAAAATGGCTTTCAATCATAATTTTTTTTAAAAAAAAAAATCATTAGCAGTGGTGCAACGGTTAAATGTTTGGCTGTTGAACCCACCAGCTACTTAAAGGGAGAAAGAGGGGCTGTTTTCAAAGATTTAGAATGTTGGAAACCTTTTAAAAAAAGCAGTTCTTAGGGGAATCTTACTCTATCATCTGGGGTCACTATGAATCAAAATCAACTCAATGGCAAAGGGTTTGGATTTTTGGTTTCTGTGTAAGTGTAGAGAAGGCTAAAGTCAATTCTATCCAAGTGGCAAGACTCGATTCCTAAGAAAAGACAATCCATCCACAACCTCATTGAAAAACACATTCTTTCAGCGCCAGACAACGCTATCGACCATCCAGGAGCTGGGCTTCCACTGTGCCTGCTGCCGATGCCAACGAAGACGGCTGTTTTTCTCTTTTGCGTTTATACTTGTGGTAATTTAAATGAACATTTACAAAGTAAACTGGTTTGCTATTGAGCCACCCATCCACATTTGGTTTTATAGCATTAATTGCGATGCCCATAATGGGATCGTACCTTCCCCCCCACACACACAACGCTATTTCTACTTTGTAAATTGTGACTTGCTATCAGTCACGTAAGGTGTCACTAATGTCCCTTCCCTGTCCAGAACAAAGAAAAGGGGAGAAAAGCAAAGGTGTAGAGAGACAGTCTAAAGGATTCATAGACTACATGAACCTCAACTTCCACTGAAATCCGAAGAATAGATGGTGCCCGGCTACCACCACTGACTCAAAATGGGTCACAGTAGATTTTTGAGAAGGTGGTGGAAATATGGGACATATTTTTTTTTTCCAACACCACCAGGTTTCAGTACTGGGACTCACGGACACCTTGCTACCCCTACATCCATTCTCACATCTGCAGCTCTGATAAAGCACCAAGCCTGAGCGTATGTTGTGTCCCTCTTTACCGGTCACCCTCCCCACCCACCTCCTCTCTGGTAATGGGCCAGAGAGTCTGGAGAAGGAAGCATCTCACCATGTTTGTGCAAGAAGTTGTGAGTGGTCCCCCATTCCCACTTCATCAAGCAGATTGCTGTTTTGCAGAAAAGGGTAACAAAGTCCTTGCACGAGGCTAGAGGGAGAAACAGAAAGAGAGGTCCCTGGTCAGCGTTTATGGGGATAGTGGTCACGGCTGTCAGAGGAAAGAACTATTTCCATTACGTTTGAGATGAGATGATGGCATGGGCTAGGTCTGCAAAGTACAGGAGGGAATGACATATATAATGACTAGCCTCCGATACTGGGGAATCAGCTTGTTCTTCCAAGGTGAAAAACAAAGCAGACTTTTCTAGAAGTTTCTAGGCTATTCTCAAACTTCCAGTACATTCTCCTATGTTCCTTCTGTCAGCTCCAGTAGCTACTCGGTCACTTCAGGAATAATTTATGGTGCATAGTGACAGCACCGACGTGTTGTTCTTGTTAGGTGCTGTTGAGTACTACTCATAGCAACTCGATGAACAACAGCTCTGAACCCCGTCCTGTCCTGTGTCATCCTCACACAGTCTCTGACACCCTCAAGCTGCAGTCACTGTGCCAATCCACCCGGGTGAGGGGTTTCCTTTCCTTCACCGTCCCTCCAGCTTTCCAAGTACGATGTCCCTCTCCAAGGAATAGCCTTTCCTAGTAAAAACGGCCAAAGTATGTGATACAAAGCTTTATCATCTTTGCTTCCAAAGAGAACTCTGATTGCACCTTCTTCAAGACATATCTCTTAGTTCTTTTGGCTTTCCATGGGACAGTCAGTACTTTTTTCCAGCACCACAACTCAAAGACATCAACTCTCCTGTCATCCTTATTCATTGTCCAGCTCTCAGATGCACATCAAGTGACTGAAAAGACCATGGACTGGATCAGGTGCACCTTAGTCCCAGCTTGTAATAGCCCCTTACAACAACAGGGGTTGCTTTGGAGTTTGGCCAGAGGACTGAACAACAGCTGGAATGGGAGTGGGGGCGTGGCTGAAGGGGGAAGTGAGAGGAGGGAGAAGGTGGGTGGAGTGGACACTTACTCAGGAAATCACTCACGGCCCCACGAGAGAGCAGCTGCTCTTGCCTGGTTAAGCTCTGCACCAGATGCTCCATGAACCGGATCCTCTCTTCCTCCGAGCTCTTAGTCCAGTTCTGCACTGTCTCTAAAGCCAGCCAGGCAGATTGGTCCTTGTTGCCTTCATCTATCACAAGAAACTCAGGTGATCATCCACCCTGGACCTCTTCCACATCACACTACAAGCACATTTCATACACCACCTCAGCCCTTCTCCTCTAGGGTCATGGCCATGTGATCACGCACCAACCTTTGCTTTCAGTGCCCAGTGCCAGCTGCAGGACCTTGAACTTCTCCTGGATGATACTGGCATCCTGCTCTTCGATATACGCCACCACCACTTCCACAAGTGCTTTCTCCACACTCATGCCCATGCCTGCCCAGAAACACACAGAAATATGTTCACCCACGTCTGTGTGAGAGCCAGGAGCCCTGGTGGCTAAGCAGGCAGCTTCTTTTTTTTTTTAATTAAATTTTATTAGTTTTAATGAACATTTACAGAGATTTTGGGTTTTCATTCATTCATTGTTGCACTGTTTTCTCCACCCTTATCCCCAGTTCGTTCTTCTCCCCCCACCCCCAATGTCTGTTTTAATTGTCCACTTGCCACAGTGCTTGTTAAAGCCAGTTCTGATTAATCTCCTTTGTCAGTGTGTCCCTTGCCATTCCCTATCACTCCTCCCTGAGAGAGACTTCACCCTGATTCATAAGGAAAAGGGGATGGTGTATTCTCTTAGCTACTTCAGCAGGCAGCTTCTAACTAAAACATTAATGGTTCAAACCTACTGGCTGCTCCACGGAAGAAAGATACATCAGGTGGGCTCCCATAAAGATTTACAGCCTTGGAAACCCGACCGAAAAGTTCTTATAGGATTGTTGTGAGTCAGAATAGACTACTAGATTTGATTGATAAGCAAAAGATCAGGAGTTCAAACCCACCAACCACTCCACAGGAGAAAAATGTGGCTGTCTGTGTCCCTAAACATTTATAGCCTCGGAAACACTATGGGATGGGGCACTATGCCTCTGTCTACTGGGCTGCTAGGAGTTGGAATCTAACAGTCATGAGGAAACCCTTCAAGGAAGCTTTACTCTGTGCCATGGTGTCACAGTGAGTTGGAATTAATTTTATGTCAATGGACTTTTAATGGGAGTGTTGTAAACTGTCAGGGAGCTCTGCTTAAGTTTCCCAAAGGGAGCTGCTCTGCTAATCCAAAAGCTATTATCTCTCCAGTGATTCAAATCAACCTGCAGCTCGTCAGGAAAAAGATGGGCAATCTCCTCCTGCGAGACTTACCACCTGAGAAACCCAGTGGAGGGTCAGCTACGGGTCAGACCTGAATAGATGGGAATGATGGATTGTCATAAACAGTTGATGACTAGCCAGAGGGTTGGAACCCACCCAAAAGTGACGTGGAAGGAAGGCCTGGGAATCTGCTTCTGAAAGACCACAGACAGGAGCCCCACAGAGCAGTCTGCTGTGCACACGTGGGTCCACCCTCAGTCATTCGGCGGCCACCACCAACGGTCTATATAGTTATTGTTAGGACTGCAGAGACCTTTCCTTCCTCTCCCAGAAGGGCTACTGAGAGAATCCAAACACAGGAAACAGCAGCTGTGCTTTTGCTCTCTGTGAAACTACCTCACACCCCTTTTTCCCCAGGAATAGTTATCTTAGACCCCAGCCTGCTTCCCTATCTTGAAGGAGAAACATCTGTAAACATTCCCTTCCCCAAGTTCCTTGTAAGAAAGTATAAAATCTCCCTCTAACTTCTAGTAGGGGCTGGTCTTCTGCTTGAGAGCGAGCCCAGCAGTTTTCACCTCAATAAACTATCTTTCTTGGCCTGCCTGGGTTCCTTGGAGACCTTACATTTATTATGACCAGGAGGGGCACTTGTTTGCCAGGAGGCAACAAACCCTAATTCCCAACACATTCACTTTCTCTCTCTCTCTCTCTCTCTCCCTCCTTTCCTCCCTTCCTCCCTCCCCCCTACCCTGCTCTCTCTCTGTCAGACTGCCATAAATTCCTATAACTCGGGGAGCTCTGGTGGCCTAGTGGCAAGGAGCTGCAACTACAATCCCAGAGGCGCATGGTTCGAATCCACCAGATGCTCTGCCGGGGAAGGAGGAACAATCTCCTCCTATACCAGTCAGATCTGATTTGACGGTACACACACACACACAAATAATAAAATAAAATTCCTATTACTCTAAGCCTTTTTCCCTTTCCTGATCAAAACTCAGAACCCCCTACCGCTCCTGCTCCCCTCACCTCAGCCATATGCAAATGAAGCCTCATCACTGTAGCCATAGACTTAGCCACCTTTTCCCTTTCTCCTAGCACTCTCCTGCAGTATGTAGATTATTTTCTACTTGCAGTCCTTCCTTTGACCTTTGCACAAAACACACAACCCTTCTTCATTTTCCAGCACATTGGGGGTGGTATAGGGTGTCTCCCAAGAAGGCTCAATTATCTGCTCCCCAAGTCATATATCTTGGAGCTATCCTCACTCCCACCGAAAGGAAAATTACCACCGACCATTGAAGATACACATAGCCTCAACTTCCCCACCTATTTCAAAAGCTGATATCCTCTCCTTCTTTGGCCTGGCAGGGTAACTCCAACTATGGATTCCAAATTTTGCCCTTTTAGCAAAACTCCTTTATGAAGCAGCTAAAGGCAACCAAAATGAAACCTTAGACTCTAAAAAACCCATTGTTACATCCTTCAGAGACCTACAACAAGCCCTTACTACAGCCCCTGCCATAGCCTTACCTGATATTACTAAACCCTTCATTCTATACGTCACTGAACATCTACAGATGGGCCTCGGAGTCCTGGGCCAAAACAAAGGTCCTTCCTTTGTCTCTGCAGCATACCTCTCAAAGCATTTGGATCACACCGTTCGTGGCTGGCCCTCCTGTCTTCGAGTAGTAGCAGCGGCAGGCTTCCTATCAAAAGAAAACCAAAAAAAACTGAAGTTTGGTCAACAAACCACTATTCTATCCCCTCACCAGCTAAAAGATCTCTCTCTTTTCATATCAAGCTCTAAAGAATCGCTCCCCTTTAAAACTTCAACTTTTCCATGCTACCTTTCTGGAGTCCCCCTGAATTAACAGTGGACAGCTGTCCATCTCTCAATCCAGGAACCTTACTCCCCAGTTCAAACTATACACTTGCTCATTCCTGCTTAGAAACGCTGGAAAGCTTAACTCCACACTTCAGTCCTATCTGCATTACCCCTCTTGTCAAATCAGAAGACACTTGGTTTATAGACGGCACTTCCACTACCTCTCAAGATGGGACCAAGCTTGGGATATGCCATTGTCAATAATGTAGGTCTCATTGAAAGTCACTCTCCTCCCAAAGGCACCTCTTTTCAGAAAACAGAACTAGTTGCTTTAACAAGAGCTCTCACACTGGCTAAGGATCAAAAGATAAGCATATACTCTAACTTCTAGTGGGAGCTCGTCTGCTTGAAAGCCAGCCTGGTAGTTTCTCCTCAATAAACTATCTTTCTTGGCCTGCACTGGGTTCTGTCCTTCCTCGGTGACCTTACAATTATCACGGTCCCTGGGACACCAGGTCACCTACCTTCCTCTGAGTAACTTCCAAAGTGTTTCATATTCCAGGTTTCTTCCAACTTGGCTGCAAGAGAATGGAGACAGGGAAGCCATTCACTGCATCAGGAAGTCGCTAGCCGAGTGGCTGGATATGCCCAAGACACAGATGTCCTTGTGATGCGCTAGGGCCTGTTCTAGGGGGGCTCCAGGGAACTAACTGTGCACAGCTCTCCCCAGATCTGTCTCCTGTAACATCATGGAAAGAGCATTTCCACAGTTCTGTTGTGAGGTGCCTTAACTTGGCTCTGACCCAAAGACACCTTATGAGCAAGCCCCTGCCAGCTCCCGCCCCCACCTCACAATCTCTGTTGTGCTTAATCCTATTAATTCAGTCACTATATTGGCCCGCCTCACTGAGAGTCTCCCTCTTTTGTCCCTTATCTGCTTTTCCAGGCATGATGTCTTTTTTCCAGGGGCTGGTTCCTCCTGACGATGTGTCCAAAGTACACGAGAGGAAGCTTCACCAACTTTGCCTCAAGAACACTCTTTGGCTGTTCTTTTGACAGTTTAGTCAATATTCTTTGCCAACGTCATAACTCAAAGGTTTGCATTCTTCTTTGCGTTTCTACCATTATTGGCGTTAGGAGACTCTGCGGACAAGGGGTCAGAACCCTACCCTGTCCTGTGTCATCCTCGCCTGTTCAGCCACACTCAAGGCCATCATTGCAGTCACTTGAGAGTCTTCTTCCCTTTCACTGACCCTCTCTCTACCTTTCCCACCATGATGTCTTTTTCCAAGGACTCCTGACAACATGCCCAAAGTATGTGAGAGGAAGTCTCACCATCCTCGCCTCCAAGGAGGTTGTACATCCTCTAATAGACGATAAACCACAAACATTGGGGAAATCTACATCCTGGAAATATAAACGGGCCTCCCCTCTGCCATTTGTAAGAAAAGTACTATGAGCTTCCTTGTATTTTGGCCTTGACCTATCTCTTCTCCAAATACTCACCCAAAAGATTATAAAGATGATTCTTAATATCGTCAATTCTAGCAAGAGCACTTCCCCATAAACCTGCCAAGAAAACACAGATTTTTAAAAAAGGCTGTATTTGCCATCACGTGATGTTGATGCTTATGACTCAAAGCCCCCACTGATGTTCACGAAACACAGCGTGTGTCTGCACTGGGGAGGGAGTCGGCCCTCTTAGGTCATCCTTCCACTCAATAAGTATTTACTACACAATTGTTGAGGAAGCTCTGGTGGCCTAGTGGTAAGAAGCTGCGCTGCAATCCTGAAGGCACACGGTTCAAATCCAACAGCTGCTCCCTGCTGAGGGAGAAAGATGGGAAATCTCTTCCCGTGCGATTTACTTCTTCTGAAAAGCCGCCGGAGGGTCAGCTATGGGTTGGTTCCGACTTGACGGTGCACAACGGCCACAAGAAGCAGTTGAGAAGCACCACACTATTTTGAACGACAGTTGTAAACTAGACAGGTCCTTTCATTCTCTCTCCCCTCAGCACCATCTACTTTTCAATCTTGTGCTTACCATCATCCGACAGCACCCTTGTATATAGTTATTTGTGTGTCTGTTCATTCATCATCTCACTGTCTGAACTGGAAGCTCTGTTCAGAAATGGGTATCACCTAGAAGCATCGACCATAGGGAGTTGTGCTGCTAAGTCAAAGATTCAAAGGTTAGAATTCACCAGCAGCTCCACAGAAGAAAGACGGGCCATCTCCTCCCTACAGCCTCAAAAACCCAACGAAGGGTCAGCTGAGTCTCTTCGGACCCAAGAGCAGTGAGTTGAGTTTTATCCTATTCTTGGATTGTTGTTGTTGGTGTCATGGACCATCGTGGTGAAAGCAACCCATGGCTGACCCTCCAGTAGCTTTTCAGAGGTGGTAAAAACAGCACAGGAGGAAATTGTCCATCTTTCTCCTGCAGAGCATCTGGTGGATTTGAACCATGTACCTTTGCATTGTTAGGGCACTTCCTTACCATTAGGCGACCAGAGCTTTCTACTCATGAATTATTATTGTTGTTGTTGTGCACCGTCGAGTCAAAACCGACCCATGGCTGCCTCTCTGGTGGGTTTTCAGAGGCAGTTAATCGCACAGGAAGAGATTACCCATCCTTCTCCCGCAGAGCAGCTGGTGGCCTCGAACCCAGTGCCTTCCGGACTGCAGTGCAGCTTCTTGCCGCTAGGCCACCAGAGCTCCCTGGATTAGAGACTGGATTAGAGACTCATGGATTCATTGTTGTCTATAGATATTTGGGCATCCTGGTCTATTCTCACCTCTCGAGATGGACCCATTCTCTTTCTTTGCTGAGTGTGGCTCTTGCTTCATAAACCTTTCCCAGCATTTGGCTAATGCTGTTGGGTGCCACATAGTTGATTCCCATGATAATGGCCTTAAATGACAGGAGAACTACTCCATAGTGTTTGCAAGACCACAATCTTCGTGGAAGTCGATCATTAGATCTTTCTCCTGTAGGTCTGCCGGCTGAGCTCGAACCACTGACCTTCTGGTTAGCACCCAGATGCTGAACTGCTGTACCACCAAGGCCTCTTAACTGGCTCCTTAGTGTTCTGTGCTCAGACAAAGGTGGATTCCCAGGAAAGTGCATGCCTTTCCTCACCCTCATTTCATCCCATGAGACCCCAGCACCAACCTTTTAAGAAGCTCATATCTCTCTCAAGCTCAGATCTGACCAGCTCGCCATTCTCAAATTTGCTTCCAAAGAGGGTGGTGGAGATGTAGGCACCGAGGGCTGGGTAGCCAACGTGGTGAGGGGTAAACTCGAACCAGCTCTCTGGGGAGGCAGTACAAGAATGAGCACCTGGCATGATGACTGACCTATATCACAAGCCCATGGCGCATAGAAAACATCCATGGGTCAAGCAGACATTGTGATAACTTAACCACCTTGTTGTTGTGTACTGTCCAGTCAGCAGGTTTTCCGAGGCAGTTAATTGCATGGCCGGAGATTCCCATCCTTCTCTCGTGGAGCAGCTGGTGGCCTCGAACCCAGTGCCTTTGGGAATTGCAGCACAGCTTCTTGCCACTAAGCCACCAGAGCTCTCATTTCAATCAACAGTAATTAACGTTACAAAACAAAGAGCCTATGAATGATGGTATGAAAAGTCAATTTGATTTGTAAACCATCATTCACATTTTTTTTCTTTTCATTTTCTTTTTTTTTCTATAATTATATTTTATTAATTTTCATAAACATTTACAGAGATTTTGGGTTTCCATTCCTTCATTGTTGCACTATTCTCTCTACCCTCCTCCCAGTTTGTTCTTGTCCAAATGCCACAGTGCTTGTCAAAGCCAGTAAACCATCATTCACATTTTTTAAAAATTAAAATTCAACAATATCTATGACAACATAGAGAGACCTGCGTTGGCCTAGTGGACAGAAAGTTATGCTCCCAAGCCCAAGGTGGGTGATTTTAATCTGTGGCTCTCAGGCCTGGTTTAAATTGTTTTTTATTAAACATTCTTCTAAGTGGTATAGCCCTGGTCTGTCCGTTTATACAGAGGTAACTCGTGGTGGCTGTGATGCTGAACACTGTGACACTGATGTGCCAAATGCGATAACGGTTACCCATGGTGGACAGTGTTTGGTGGAGCTGCTCAATTAAAACAAGCTCAGAAGCAAGAGAGGCATCCACTTCCGAAATAGCTTGCCTTCGGAAACCCTACAAACAGTGCTCAGGTCTTTCACTCACAGCGTTGCTATGAGTCAGTCGTACGACTTGACAGCACTTACCAACAACAAGAAGAAGAAGCAAAAAAATAATTAATAGTAGGTAAGTCGGGTGAAGGGAAAGGCCATATACATAAGGGGTTGATTGGATTGTACTTAATTAATTACATTAATCAATAGTAAATAATGTTATCAAAGAAAATGTGTAGGATTGAGCCAATGAAGTCATCATTACAATGTTGTATATCAATGTGGGTATGAATGAGAAAATGAAATCGTAATTACAATGGTGTAAAACAAAAATGTGTGTGAAAGGGAGCTCTGGCGGCCTAGTGGCAAGACGCTGCACTGCAATCCCAGAAGTACGCGGTTCAAATCCACCAGATGCTCTGCTGGAGAAGGAGGGGGCAATCTCCTCCTGTACCAGTCAGATCTGATTTGACGGTACACGTAAAAATAATACAATAAAAAAATGTGTATGAATGAAAAATGCCTATGGCTTGCAACCTCTCACTCAAATAAGCAAATAAAAGAAAAAAATAAAAGACCCCCGGAATGAGAAATCATAAACAAGGTGCTGGAATATCAAAGACGGACTCCACTATTAGAAGATTCGAGATACAATTTCCTACATAAACTGGGGTCTCTTTCTCAGACCTTTGAGAGTCTTTTCATCTGTTGTGAGCAACTTGATATTTCGTTGTTGTTGTTGTTGTTGATCGCCATCAAGTCGAGCACGACCCTAAAAGCAAAAGGCCTGAAGCCTTTTTTGTAACTCTTGTCATTTATCAAAGTTCCTAGAGTTTCCAGAGGCATGTTGTTTAGGAAGCGGATGCCACTCCTGCTTCTGATACTTCCCCAGACTTGTACCTCCCCTCCACCCCTTTGTCCCCCTCCATCGCGCAGTAGCTGCCTCTCCCCATGGTCTGGGAGAGGCGCAGAACGGATCCACGCTAAGGCAGTCAGCTCTACCTGTCCACGCCGAGAGAGATATCACTAGAACATTCCTTCCAATGTGGGGAATGACCCCATGCTCAGATATTCATTTTGAAAACAATCAAGGTGAAAGTGGAAAACAAGAGGAGGCGACTGTTAGGCTAAAAATATAAATGGAGGTGGAGGCTGAACTCAAAAATCCTGTGTCAGGATGTTTTCCAAAATCAGAATTCAGAAAATCCTATGTCAGGACATTCCCTAAAACCAGAACTTAAGAAAACCCTCTATCAGGACATTTTTCTGAAGCCTGAACTCAGAAAGCCTGTGTCAGGACATTCCCCAGAACCACTTTCCCAAGATCAGAAACTTTATGGCCCAATGAGCCACCGTACCCCATATAAGCCCCCTGAGCCCAACCCCCAGTGCTGCTCCCCTTACTAAGTAGCCCGGCGTGCAATAAACTCTGAGAAATGTTTCGACGTCAGCGTGCTTCTTGGCTTTAACCCGAAACCTTTCAGCGAACACAGAAAGCTGCCAGGGAGCCGGGAAGCCTGGACCCGGATGCGCTCAGGGATGCTTCCACCTCGTGACAAGGTCACGTGCGCCCAGTGGAGCCCCTCAACAGGGTTTCCAAGGCTGTGCCCTTTGAGAAGTGGATCCCCAGGCCTATCTTCTTGGGACAACTCTGCCCTGAGTGGGCTTGAACTGCTAGCCTTTTGGCTAGTAGTCAAGCGCTTAACCATGTGTGCCATGCAGGCGCTCCCTGGATCAGAGTGAGGGGAGGTGATGTGTAGGTGTTGGGACTGACTGGAGGAGCCCTGGCGGGCTGCTAACTGAAACGTTAGTAGTTCAAATCCACCAGCTGCTGTACGGGAGAAAGATTAGGCAGACTATGACCATTAAATTCACAGCCTCAGAAACCCAGCTCGTCAGCACAGGCTGGAATGACTCCGTGGCAATGGGGATTTGTGTTTGTGTGTTTGTGTTGCTGCTGGGTCTGTGGGAAGACACTCACCACTGGAGGGGGGCATCTCGTTTGGTAAAGTGGGGGTGTCAGCAAAAATGAAGGGAACCCCCCCCCGGAGATGGACCAAATGACAGTGACTGCGACAGTGGGCTCAAAGTCCAGGAACTGGTTGAAAAACAGAGTCGGTGACCCTCAACAACAACAGTGTTTTCTCAACACCGATCATTCCAGCGCCCACAATCACTTCCACAGGAGACTTTCATATCTGGGAGCCCCAGAAAGAATCCTACTTGTGCAATGGGTTAAGTGCTCAGCTTCTACGCAAAAGACTGGTGGTTCAAATCCACCAGCTACTCCACGGGAGACAAGATGACTAGCAATCAGCTTGTGTAAAAGATCACAGCGCTGCCTTTCTACGAAGACGGTGCCGAAAGTGAAGAAGGAGGCCCCTGCCCCTCCCAAAACTGAAGCCAAAGCAAAGGCGTTAAAGGCCAAGAAGGCGTCCTGAAGGGCATCCACGGCCAAAAAAAAAAAAAGAAGATCCACACGTCACCCACCTTCCGGTGGCCTAAGACGCTGAGACTCCGAAAGCAGCCCCAACACCCCCAAAAGAGCGCCTCCAAGAGAAACAAGCTAGACCACTATGCCATCATCAAGTCTCCCCTGACCACTGAGTCAGCCATGAAGAACATAGAAGATAACAACACACTGTGGATGTCAAGGCCAACAAGCACCAAATCAAACAAGCTGTAAAGAAGCTCTGTGACACTGATGTGGCCAAGGTCAACACTCTGATCAGGCCTGATGGAGAGAAGAAGGCCTGTGTTTGACTAGCTCCTGACTATGATGCTTTGGATGTTGCCAACAAAATTGGGATCATCTACACTGAGTCCAGCGGGCTAATTGTAAAAATAAGTTTTTCTCACACACACACACACACACACACACACACAATGACAGCACTGGACACAGTACAGGGTCTGCTTCTGTCCCTCATGGCATGAGAGAGGCCGAGTCACAGAGATCGGGGACACAGACGCAGGACCCAGTGAGTCCACCCAATGACCATGAGTTGGAATCAACTCTGTGGCAGAGAGAGGGCTCCCCCAGGGGAAGGTCAGGGAAGCATCTACACATTTCAGGAAATCCTCTTTAGCCCCTTCCAGCATCCCCTCCGCAGGACGTTTTCTTACTCAGAGTTTTTCTCTTCTCCCAAGCAGCTTTGAGGTCGTCATCAATGGCTGCAAATATCGGGTAGGGCAGTGTCCCGTCCTCCACGTGCTTTCTCATGCTGGACAAGCAGCAGTCCTGCAGCTGCGGGGAGAAGGGACCAGAGTCAGGGGCTTTGGAGACACAGAGGTGCAGAATGCTTCTCCCCACTGGAGGCCTTGGTAGAAGAGTGCTTAAACACTGGGCCCTGTGCACATCCATGTTTATCGTGGCTTTGTTCACAATAACAAAGAGTTGGAAACAACCCAAGTGCCATCAACAAACAATGGATAGAGAAGCTGAATCTGTAGAATATGCATACAGTGGAATACTATGCAGCACTGAAAAACAAAGAACTGTTGTAAAACAGGACTGACATCGGGGTTGGGGGAGACTGAGAGAGATGGTATAAATAATGCATACTGAAACAGCTAAGAGAGAAAATTGTTTAAAAGGGATATGTGATTAGGTATTATTGTCATGACAGGAGTCCAGAGCAAAGGCTGCATAGTGGAGCGGACTTGGGGGGAGGGATTGTAAAACAATGGGGGAACTTATCTTTTACTTTTCAAAGAGAAGAATGTACTGGGGGAAGGGGTGGGCAGGGAGAAAAGTACAACAGTGAATGACTGGAAATCCTCAGTCTATATAAACTTTCATTAAAATCAATTAAAAACAGGGGGGGAAGAGTAAACATCAGTGTCATTCATGTTGTAAACCAAAATGTCTATGAAGTGTTGGATGGAAAAAATACTTGTTTTTTAAGCACAAATACAATTGCAATAAATCAAATCATATTAAAAAGGGGGTTGGGAAGGAATGTTAAAGGTGGAGACTGAAGAATGTCCCAGGACTATTGTCCCGAGAGACCTTTCATTTTTTATTTTAATTTTTTTTTAATTATTTTTGTGTGTGTGTACCGTCAAATCAGATCTGACTGGTACAGGAGGATATTGTCCCTCCTTCCCCGGCAGAGCATCTGGTGGATTCGAACCGTGTGCCTCTGGGATTGTAGTTGCAGCTCCTTACCACTAGGCCACCAGAGCTCCCCTGAGAGACCTTTCAAATCTTGAACCAAAGTTGTTCACTGAGTTGTGCTTTGTCACAGAGAAGCTCTCAAAATAACAACTATCACCTACAAGTGCAGACAGACATGTTCACTTTGGAGTGTTTCAAAGTCGTTTTTCTTTTGATTTCTTTTCTTTGAGCGAAAGTTTACAAATCGTACTGGGTGTTCATTCAGTCATTCATAGACATTTTGTTTTATAATATTCATCACAATTGATTCATGTCATTCATTAATAACATTGTCTGCTTAACCTGTCCAGGAACTCCAGTGGCCTAGGGGGTAAGGAGTTGCACTACCAACCCAAAGGCAATCGGTTTGAATCCACCAGCCGCCCCACGGGAGAAAGATGGACAATCTCCTCCAAGGTATAACAGCTTTGGAAACCCAGTGGGAGGTCAGCCATGATGGTCAGTTCTGATTTGACAGAACAAGAGGCAGCAGCAGTAATAGTACCACCTTCTGGCAGCTTCTTCCTGTGTATGTATTTTTCCAACTAAAAAAAATAAAAGTTGGAGGAGGGAGAACCCACTCTTTGGCAGCCCTGCACCTGGAGCGACCCCATCCTGATATCCACCTCCCAGCCCAAGGTGGAAGCCACTCACTTCCCTGGTTTGCTTGGAGACGACCATGTACGCCCAGAAGTCGGTCAGGGAGTAGCTCTCCAGCCACGCCGCCCACTTGGCTTTCTCCAGGCAACTGCCTAAGTTCCACTCCTTCTCGATGAATCGCCGCTTCAGTTCAGCCTCTGTCTCCTTTATGTTTCCTTTGTTGGCATAAAATGAAGACAGTGCCCTGGGGCGGGGGGCAGAAGAAGAGAAGAGGGTCGGGGCTGGAAGAGGATGAGGAAGGCCAGGGATTCTGTGTTATGTGCCAGAGAGTCACCTACCACTCACAGTGACCCTATGTTCAACAGTTCTGATGCCTGCCCTGTCCCGAGCCAGTCTCACTGACTCCCACACACACAACCCCAGTTACCGAATCAATCCATCTCATCTGGGATCTTCCTCTCCTGCGCTGTCCCTCCACCCTTCCGAGCATGATGTTTTTCTCCAAGGACTGGTCTCTCCTGGCCACATGCCCAAACTATGTGAGACGAAACTTCAAAATCCTTACCTCTAAGGACAAACGTGGTTTCACCCTCTCCAAGACAGACTTATTTATTCTCATGGCAGCCCATGGTATATCTGTTCAAGACTTTTTTCCAGCACCACAACACACAAAGACATCAATTTTTCTTCTGTCATCCTTAGTCATTGTCCAGTTCTCTGATGCGTAGTATGTAATTGCGAAGAGCCATGGCCTGGATCAGGCGCACCTTAGTCTCCAGACTGACATCATTGCTCCTCAGCACTCTGGAGAGGTCCCTGACAACAGACTTCTTCAGTGCAATTAATCT